AGAGAGAGAGAGAGAGAGAGAGAGAGAGAGAGAGAGAGAGAGACAGGGTCTAATATAACCCAGGCTGGTCTTAAATATGCAGTCATGGATGACCTGGAACTTCCAGGTTACAGGTGTGCAACATCATGCCCAGTTTATGCAGTCCTGGGAATTGAAGCCAGGGCTTTATGTCTGCTAGAAAAGCACTTTACCAATTGAGCTACTACATTCCTAGCTCTGGTCAAAGGATTTTAAAATTATTTTATTTTTAATTATGCATATGCATGTGTATCTTTGTGTGAGTGTGTGCATGTGAATGCGGGTGTCTTTGGTTCAGAGGTGTTGGAGCCTCTGGAGCTGAAGTTACAGGGGACTGTGAGCCACCTAACGTGATTGATGGGACTGAACCTGGGTCCTCTGCAAGAGCAGCATATGTTCTTAATTATTGAGCCATCTCTTCAGCCCTAGTCAAAGAAATTTTTATAAAGGCCACAAGACAAATGAATGACAGAAAGGAAGGTTAAGAAACAAAAACTAAAACAAATACACAAAAGCAAGCAGCAGCAGCCCATCCATCATGTGGCCCACCCTCATGACCTCACTGATTCCTCACTGATTCCTAATTATTTCCCAAAGACCCCATCTCCAAATACCATCAACATATGGATTTGAGGTCCAGTAGTTAACATGTGAAATTTGAGGGCATATTCAAGTTGTTATTAATCACAAACTGAAATACGAAAGCTAAAGCTACTAGTAGCTCCTAGAAGAATACATAGGAATGTTTTCATAACCTTAGCAAAGGGAACCATTTCTTAAAACACAAAAGACACTACTCACAGAAGAAAATTTGACACACTAGACTGCATCAAAGTCAAAAGTTTCTGCTCAGGGCTGGAGAGATGGCTCAGCAGTTAAGAACACTGGTTATTCTTGCAGAAGACCCGGGTTCGAATCCCAGTACCCACATAGCAGCTAACAACTGTCCATAACTCCAGTCCCAGGGGATCCGACAGCCTCTTCTGACCTCCGCGGGCACTGCACAACACAGGTGCACTTACCTACATGCAGGCAATACACACATACACATAAAATAAAAATAATAGATAAAATTTTTTTCAAAAGTTAAAAAAAAAAGTTTCTGCTCCTTATGAGCTGAATGGGTGGAGCCAGGCATGTGGCACATGGCCAGAATCCCAGCCACAAGGGGGAAAAACGGTAAATCTGAGGTCAGTCTGGGCTGTCTAGCAAGAGCCTGTCTCAAAAAAAAACATTAACAGAAATGAAAAGTTGAGGGCTGTAGCTCAGTGGTGGGAGGGAGGAAGGGAGGGAAGGAAGGGAAGGAGGGAGGGAGGGAGGGAGGGAGGAAGGAAGGAAGGAAGGAAGGAAGGAAGGAAGGAAGGAAGGAAGGAAGGAAGGAAGGAAGGAAACTGAAAAGTTAACTTGTAGGCTGGCAGAAAATTTTATGTACACATACACACATACATTATACATCTCAATATGTCTCACAGTAAGAACTTGAATGAAGGGGCTGGGGAGATGGCTCAGTTGGTAAAGTGCTAATCATGTAAACATGAGGACCTGGGTTTGATTCCCAGCACCCATGTAAAAAGAAAATCCAGGTGCAGTAGTGCACTCTTGGGATATGGAGACAGGGAGATCTCCAGGGTTGTCTGGCCAGCCAGTCTAGCTGAATTGGTGAGCTCCAGGTTCAGTGAGAGACCCTGTCTCTGAAAAAAGTGGACAGGCTGGAGAGAGGGCTCAGTGGTTAAGAGCACTGGCTGCTCTTTCAGAGGACCTGGGCACCCACATGGCTACTAACAACCATCTATAACTCCAGTTTCATGGGATCCACACCCTCTTCTGGCATCCATGGGCATTACATGACACAGGTGCACTTACATACATGCAGGCAAAACACTCATACACATAAAATAAAAATAAATCAATCAAAAATTAAAATAAATAATAAGGTAGAGAGGCTAGAGAGATGGCTCAGCAGTTAAGAGCACTTGCTGCTCTTGTAGAGGACCCAGGTTTGGGTCCCAGCACCCACTTTGGGCCACTCACAACTCAAGATTCACAGGGATCTGATTCCCTCTTGTGGCCTCGGTGGTCACCTGTGTGTATGTGGTTCTCATACAGACACACAAACATACACAATTTTTTAAAAATTTTATTTATTATTTTATGTGTATGAGTGCATTGCCTGCATGTAGGTAAGTGCACCGTGTCGTGCAATGCCCATGGAGGTCAGAAGAGGCTGTCGGATTCCCTGGGACTGGAGTTACAGACAGTTGTTAGCTGCCATGTGGATGCTGGGATTCAAACCTGGGTCTTCTGCAAGAGCAACCAGTGTTCTTAACTGCTGAGCCATCTCTCCAGTCCCACAAATAAATTTTTAAAAATTAAAAAAAATAAGGCAGAAAGCTGGGCGTGGTGGTGCACGCCTGTAATCCCTGCAAAGGCAGGTGGATCTCTGTGAGTTCAAGGCCACCCTGGTCTACAAAATGAGTTCCAGGCCAGCTGGGGCTACAGGGAGAACCTGTCTTAAAATAAACAAATAAATAAATAAATAAATGGCAGAGAGCAATACCCAACATCAACCTCTGGCCCCCACATGCATGTACACATGTACACACACACACACACACAATCCTCCTGCCTCAGCCTTTTAGTGTTGAGACAGCCTGTTAGCCATCCCTCTGGATTTACAATTTTATTGCTCTTGGGTAGAATTCTAGAGGTAAGCTGGGCATGTGGACACATGCCTATAATTACATTATTCAGGATGCTGAGGCAGGTGGAAAGTTGTGAATTCAAGGCTAGTCTGACTTAAATGGTGAGTTCCAGGCCAGCCTGGGTGACATAGCAAGACCTTGTCTCAAAAAACAAGCAAACAAAAAATTCTAGCTGGTCATGGTGGAGCATGCCTATAATCCTAGCACTGGGGAGGTAGAGGCAGGAGAATCAGGAGTTCAAGGTTACCTGGGCTACGCAGAGAGTTAGAGGTCAACCTGGGGGGCTATATCAGAACCTGTCTCAAAGCAAAAAATTCTAGAGGTAGAATTTCTGGACTCTGTGTGTGTGTGTGTGTGTGTGTGTGTGTGTGTGTGTGTGCGTGCGTGTGTGTGTGTGTGTGTGTGTACGCATGATGTGTGGGTGAAGGTGTACCACAGTGTACTCGGGGGTCAGAGGACAATTCTGTGGTCATTCTCTTCTTCCACCGTTCCATGGCTTCCAGGACATGAACTCAGGTCATCAGGTTTGCATGGAAAA